CACCGCTGTCCCATGAAATCTCTGACACATCACCCTAGCTAGATCCAGATGCAAAGGGAAAGCAAGCTACTTCATAAAAAGGTATAGAGTTATTCACTTTTTTTGCCCCACACAATAAAGGTGCAGAGGAACAGTGATTCTGGTCTGTCTCGATGTAATGACAACTGCACACCACCCTTTAGTTAGGAAAGGCTTTAGAGTAGTAATTACAATCTAGCTTGTGTGAATTGGCATTTTGGAACCTTTTGTCTCTTTCTTGATCATCATTTTCTCATCCAAAACAGAGACTGTGAAAACCATACCCAAATATGCCCTGTCACCTTTTCCACTTGAGCTGATTAGTAAAAATTCTAAATGTGTTTTGGCAGGTATAAACACTGGTCCTCCGTGAGCTTGACAGAGACTTACTAGCTTCTTTCCTACTGGCCACCAAGCAGCTATCACATGGTGAAAATGTTTCAAAGCTAAATTGTATTCATTCTAGCAATCTAAAGGAATGAGATTTTATAGCCCCTTCTGGTCCCTTCAGGCATCTGGACAATGCATGCTGAACATCTCTCCATTGTTCTTTTTGTATTAGGTAAAACATAATTAATACTTTTTAAAATTTACTATATTTCCTATATATCATTTACTGGTATGTATATTAAAAGTTCAGAAACTCAGTATTTATGAATTTCAAACTCTTAAATTTTTATGGCCATTTTACATAGCTGGCATGTTATACATGAAGATTTAATTCTTTGAAGTGAATGCTTAAATAGCCATCAGTTTCAGATCAACATGGCCAAAACAGATTTCTAAGTTTTCCACTAGCCATTCCACACTGCATTCTTTCCTAGTCATTGTAGGCAATGCTACCATCTCCCCTCTCACCCATGTCCATCTTCCAGTTGGCCTTCTCTCTTGATATTCATAGACAGCTTGTGTCTACTTTATTTTTTCCATTTCTTCCTCTGTAACATCTCTAGACTACAGCCTGTGCTATCCATCCATACTGATACAACTTTTATCCAAGTCCTTATCATCTCACCTCTCAAGCACTGGCCTTGAGAAATGATATCTTGTTCCACTTTGTTCAAGTCAGAATGTCATTCAAAGATAACTTTCCAGTCTCATCATCAATTTGACTGTGTGACCTTTTTGTTTTCCTCCACTGGTTGCCCCCTTTCCACTATCTCAAAAATAAATTACTTGTTTTCACTTTAATGGCTCCTTATGACCTTTGTAGACTCCACCCTGCAAATCACCTGTCAAACAGTATCAAAGTCTTGATTCTTGACTCAGAAGAACCTATGATTTCTATCTTTATATGCACTTGTTTCTTTGTATTCTATATCTGCTGTCTGTTGGCTTATATTTAGATTATAAGCTATTTGAGGCACAGACATTCTTGTTGTTTTATTGTTGTAATATGCAGCTGGAATTAAAATACTTTGCAATAGGCTTATTTTGACCTATTTAATTTAATGGACATAATTATGTTTCTTCTTTATTGATCTGATTTGAAAAATACACAATATTTACAAAATTCTGTCATATATATTAACTGCTACTAAGAGTTTTTCTTCCCTAAAACTATTACTAAGTGAAACTAATTCTCCAAGTCCCTAAGTCTTGTTCATTCCCAATAAATGATACTGTAGTTTAATTAGCCAACCCAATCTTGTGCTTCAATATTTATTTCATGTGACCATTTGATTATTCAATGTGTGCAGTACCTCTAACAGTGGCTGCCAAAAATAATGCCAGTTGGCTGGATCCAGAGTGGATCAACACGCTGCACCCGTGCGGGGCCAGTCCAGGATACATGCTGCATGTGACATCTGTGCAGAGCTGGTTCAGGATGCTGGATCTGGCATGCAGGGCTAGTCTGTGGGCCCAATCTAGCCTGTGGTCTGGCTCTTTGCCATTCATCCAGCCCTACGCCATTCATTTAACTACTGCATAAGTCACAGAGTCCCCATGCAGGGAGGTGGGAGGATAGAGAGCTGTCCACTTAGGGATACTGAAGGACCTGACCAAACAGTGTTAGCCTATGAAAGTCATACTGGTGTAAATCCAGAGCAATTCCACAGATGCATTCAGTTTTGTAATGTGAAAACCTAACAAATGTAACCTCAGAGCAATAAATCTTTTATCAGTGGGATAATCATAAATTACACTTCTGGAATACATTGCTTCTTTACTAAGGATTACTGTTAAAAATAAAACAAGGTATTCTATTGAATAATTTGCAAATTATGTAGAAAATGAGCCAAATTCTATATAGCAGAGCTTCACTAAAGTCACCGAAGCTACATCGACTCCATAAAGATCTATCCCTATATATATTATCATATAAATCTGTGCTTTATGTCAGACAGTTAGATTATGAACATTTATCCAGTCTCTGTTATAAGAAATGAAAGAAATCAGGAAAGAAAGAAACATTCGATGTGTAACATATTAGCCCAGGGCTTAGACGAGTAAGGTTCAGTTACCATTTCCACTACACAATTCCAAGGGCAAGTCACTAATTTCTCTTTGCCTCAGTTTCCCAACTTCTGCCCTGCAGATATTACTATTTGCATATATGTACTGATTAGTACAACAGGGCCCTAATATCTCTTTTTTACTACTTTAATATCAATAATAAAATTGGTCATAATATACAAGAGCATATATATCATAAAACATTTTCATACTGTGAATTGTTGGGATTTTTAAAGATACATTTTATCATGGTGTGTTTTCCATATGATTCATAGAGAAATTCTGTTCATCAGCTGGGCCCTCTATGTATAAAATATACAGATTTATGTTATATTGTCTCTTAGACCCTTTATGCTGATCTGACCACTGGAAGTTGTTTTGGTTTTTTTTCAATGTTTGTACATAAAATGGGCTATTCTTACATAGTCCCACATTCAGGAGTGTCCTGATCTCTATTAGATCACTACAATCCTATCCTATCCTACCCTATCCTAATAACAGTGAGTTCTGAGATTTGTAAAGTTTATGAAAATTACATTAATATAAACAATTATAATGTTACACTATTTATGTATACATACAGTTGGTCCATCCAAAACCTGGACAATAGATCCTCCTACTAGCAACGGACAGCAGGGAAATTAAATTATTTTTTGAGGCCATGGCTTTAAGGGACTGTCTCTTCTGAACAATGTTATTGCAAAGTTCTAGAAGCTGTCAGAAATCAAGAAGAAAAAAGAGCAACCTTGTTATCAGTGTTGGGTGCATGCCAAGCTTTGAAATCAATATTAAACTTCAAATAGGGAAAAATGAAAACATAGACCAGTCATAACAAAAGGTAACTAGGTTATTTTATTCTTAATTGAATGACTACTTACTTGATTGTTAGTATAAAATGCCATCATCTGATGTTGCTTAGTAGAATTTCACATAGTTAATTGGAACAAATTCCTGTTGCTCTGGCAATATCTGGGCATGAGTTCCAGAAAAAAGAAAAAAAAAATCTGCCCAAATTCAGGCCCCAAAGGTAGACGTGACTGTTGAGACTATCAGACAGCAACCCCATTACGTTTGTATAGAATCTCTTCTCAAAAAATATCCAGGGTTTTTATTTTTGTTTTTTTTTTAGATATAAAACCTCACTGAATGTGGAGAAAAAGACTTGAAAACATAATTGTTTCTGGAGTTGAATTATTTGTTTGAAATTTAGTCCTTTTTGTCTGTTTGCAAAATTGACTTTGAATTTTATGAATGTGTTATCAAATGAATCATACATACAAACAGCTTCCAAACTATAGGCGAGATATAAACTGCTTACATTTGTGATTTGTTGTTTTGCAGTTTAGAGATGTGTCTGGTATATGAGGTTGTATTGCATTATATCTGCTGTATCACTGGATGTTTGAAAATGTTATTAACAGGAGAAAAAAAAAGCAACAAATAAAATAAAACTCTAATTTATACACAGATACCCTTAGATCCATATGACTATAATCAATCATATCACTAGCTAGTCACCAACAGTATGCCATGAAAAATCCATTCTTGCAAACATTCAAGAAAAATCAAACAACAAGGGCTATATGCAAGTTAAATCAGTACCTAAATGAATGATCACAAACATATCTTAGGGCCTTGCTACGCCTTACATTGTGAGCTGTACAAACATTGATTGGTGTTAGTGCTAGCTTGAGTTTGGAGCAGTCACTCTTGAGGCCAGCAGGGTCCTGGAGTACTGAAAGGTAAGAATCCCTCTTTGTTTCAGTTCTGGGCTTTCCCCTGTCCCCTCTCTCGGGCTCCCCTGTTTTTTCCTCCCCACCCCCTGACTTACTTGAGGCTGCCCACACTGTTTGTTCCAGGGACACAGGCAGGACAGAGACAAGGTTAACCTACATACCTGGCCACCACAGGTATGGGCTGCTGCTCTTCTCTGAGCTGAGCCAGGCCCAGAGAGTAGCAGCTGGGCAGGCAGGTTAACCCTTCCCTGCCTGCTCACCGAGGACACAGCATAGGCAGCCACAAATAAGCAGCAGTGGGGAGAGGAAGAAGGGGGTCAGTGAGGGGGATCAGGAGCACTGAGGAAGGCAGTAGACTGGATTTGGAGCAGTGAGGGAGGTGGCTGGGGTGTTAGATTTGCTTACCTTAGGGTAACATGAGCTGCATAGCACGAATCAAAGTGGCATAATTTTGAGTGGCATAAATTCTTAACACTAGTTTCAGGTGGTAATGCATAGATGATCCAGGGGTTAAGAATTTCAGGAGCTGCCAAAAAAACATGTAATGAGGCACTTAGGGTCTGCCACAATCAGTGAGGCATGCTTAAGTGGTTAAAAAACAAAACAAAACAAAAAGTCTCTTAAAAAGGAAGTTGAAGTTGCTATTTCAATAAAAGTAATAACAAACATTTATTTTTATAAATACAATCTTCTATACATGGGAGAAATGAATAAATGAGTGTATACATATACATGGAAGAAATGAATGAATGAGTTGATACATGTATAATAAATCTAAGTGTATAACACATGGAAGTTGGTAGTAAAATAGCAGAGTTAGGAACTGATGACAAAGCCAGGTGTGGTAATCATTTTTATGTATGCATGACAATGATGATGGTGGTGATAATCACACTCTTTGCATTCCAGCAATAATTCTGGATTCTAAATAGCAGCTACCCCATCTAGACAATGTAAATCAGCCAGAATGAATAACTTGCAACTAAGAGTTTTAAAGAGCTGGCCAAGAAACAATCTGCCAGTTAGTTTGGAATGCTGGAGAAGTTCTAGAAGACTGAAATAAATGTAATGTGACGCCGCTTTAAAAGAATAAATAGGACAACCTGGGTAATTATGTTTGTTACCCTGATACTGATCTCCATATAAATAATTGAACAGCTGATGTGTGACTTGATTAATGAATAATAAAAAAGGAGGGTAACATAATTAATTCAAGTCCATATGGATAGGAAAACAAATCTTGTCAAGCTAACTAAAATCTTTTCTTTCAATGAGATTACAAATTTAGTGGAAAAGAAGTTGTGATAATTTGCCAATGTAGTATAGTCAGACTACTGTAGGGCGTTTCATTTATTACCTCATTATTTTGGTTAAGAAACTACAAAATGATACAAAATCAACATGGTACATACACATTAAGTCAACTAGAAGTCATGTCTTTCATGAATTAAAGCAGGTTGTGAAAGACATGATAAACAAAAGCAGTTGGTATAAACTGAAGTCAGTGGGTCTTCTGCCTATCCATATCAACTAAGAACCTAGTTCTGTCTCCAGCAGCAATCAATGGTTGTATTAAATTTAATGTAGATACTGTTGTATGAATGTGAGGTTTGCTATAATGGAACTGTGTTCTGTATTTCATTTTGTTTACATTAGCAGGCCTTATTTATTTTCAATGTATAAATTCAGTTATTGGAAGCCTAGTTTAATATCCATTCAAGTCATTAGGAAAGACTTTGGATCAGGCAACATGTTTTTCAGCAGAACAGAAATATCATTTGTTACAAACTTGTTACTTCCAATATTTTAAAATATATCCAATTCCCTGGTCTCACACCTAACTTGCAATTAATAGTTGAAAGTAGATTCTTCTGCCTATGTGGAAGTCAACTGTGGATATACTGGTAAGTATATGTGCTAGCAAAAGCAGCAATACAACCTGTATTTGTTATTCATGTCTTCTAAGCCTGATTTAGAAACCATTTTTCTAAGGCAATATTTTGTTTTCATTGAAATATATATTCTAAATATAACTTCCCAGTCTGCCATATCTCACAAACCAAAACATAGGGAAAGGAAAAAAAAATGGTGGTGGAAATGTATTTTCTACCAAACAAGGAAACCAATATGGATTTTGATTTTAATTGGATACATGTTGACATTAATTACTTGCCTAGCCCTGTAGAATTACTTAAAGACCATCCTATAATTTAAAATTCCTGGTAGTTTTGTACTGTAAAGCTTCATATGTGCATCAATTTATTTTACAGAAACCTAGAAAGGAGAGCCCAGCTTGATACTTCTGTTTCTATATTAAGCATCACTGCATCACTATTATTGCCACAGCAGAGCAGTAAGGAAAGAAAATTAAATTAATGACATTACATGAGGATATAATGAGAGTAACAAGATTAATTTCAAACAGCCAGTCCAGTTATTAATCCATGTGCACATCATTATGTATCTTCTTGTGTATGTGTGTGTATATATATACACATATACATGTACATACATACACACGTACATACGTATGTACGCACGCACACACACACACAGCGGGCTATACAGGAGGAGATATTGTGTGTGTGTGTGTGTGTGTGTGTGTGTATCTCCTCTTGTATAGCCCACTGTGTGTGTGTATGTGTGTGTATACGTACGTATGTATGTATGTATGTGTGTATGTAAGTATGTGTACGTGTATATCTCTTCTTGTATAGCCCACAGTGTTACTCCTTCCCTGTATTTTGGACCTTTACTTTTTGTTTTAAATAGATGCTACTCATTTATTTAGCTGGGACCTTCTGTATAGCCTTTCAAACATACTAAACTATTTGCTTTTTTATGGCCTCATTTCAGGAGGGCGAACCATAATTGACATATCCAGCCAAGTAACACTTCCTTTTCCCTTAAAAGCAGTAAATAAACAGCAGCCCATATGCTATTTCAGCATAGTAGCCACAAACTGGATTCTGACTGGACTCTGAAGCAACCAAAGTAACTATCAGTTTGCTCCAGAAAAAACAAAGCTACTGCGAATGCTAAAAAATACAGTTCCTTGATTAGATTTTGAGGACAATGAGTCCTTCTGCTAATAACTCTAAGCAGTATCTTAATTGGTAGGTAAATGAATAAAATATGTGTTTATTACTAACTAATTTACTTGTTTGCTTTCAGTGCTATCACTGATTTATAGCAGAGTGGAGAAGCTAGCTTGCGTCATAGGGGGTTTATTTTAATGGTTTAGTTTACTTCTTGACTGGAAAAAGCTTACTGTGTTTTGAACGTGGTCTGTCAACCATATGTGTCAAAATGAGGGACAACAGCCCCCTAAACATCAGAGGCACTGGAGGTCACTTCGCTGGATATATTGATTATGGTTCCAGTATTGCCAACCCCACCATGGCAAAAGTCATGAGACAAACTCTTAAAAATCAAGAGATTTGGCATGTAAATCACAGGACGCTATTTTTGAAGTGTGTGTATTGGTCTCCATACACACACTTGTGGGGGTGCTACGTGTGGGGGGCTGTGGGCATGGGTGTGTGTTTTGAAGCCCGCAGAAGGGGGTCCCCACACACCCTGGCAGGATGTGGGGTACTGTGGATCAGAAGTAAGGGCCACCAACAGCACTGGGGTGGGGAGGGGCTGTGGTTTGGGAATGAGGGGCAGACACAGATACACACACACACACACACAGCTGCCCACAGCTCTGTTGTATGATTCGCCCTGGCCCCCAGGGCCCTATTCACCCCAGTTCCTGCCTTACTTCCCCCCCTCCCCCATGGGAGCCTTGATCTGCCCCCCACCCACATCCCGTTCCCTTCCACAGACTTGCCAGCTTGGTGCTCTCTACATGTGCCAGAAGAAAAAGTCCTGAGATTTGATCTCTATCAGGAGATCATGAGTCAGAGTTAATTGACTTAGAAATCAGGAGTTCTGTGATTTTTTTCATGAGAGTTGGCATTACTTTGGTTCTCCCTGCTGAAATGAGATCATGCAACAGTAAACCAATCACTGCTTCGCCAAATATGGTCTGACTGTTTCTAACTCCTTTAAAGTAGCCAGTTAGAGTAGACAAGAGGTATATTGTGCAAAAGTAATTGCAACATAGTATATTTTTTTAAGGATGATACATAATCTTCTTCACAAAGTGCTAAAAAACCCACCTTCTGCACCTATGTCGAACCTAGTATATAATTTTGAATTTATATTACATCCCTAACAAAATCAAGTTGTTCTGGAATTATGGTCATATCACAGCTTGAATTAAAGCAATAGGCACTACAGTGCCTTAAGTGGCTTTTTTTTGTTTGCCAGCTGATGGTTTTGCTATAGAGTATTCTTCCCACTTCCAATAAATAATACTTGTTGCTTGTCCTATGTATATAACACATGACAGTGTATCACAAGGGAAGCTTGTTGCCCCAAGCTAGACAGTAGAGCGGTGTGTTTGGCAAATGAAAACATTTGTCTGAATGATACTTTTCTGAATGAGAATCTTTTTGCTTTGCAGAGAGTTTGGCCGCTGGAAAGTAAACAATCTAGCTGTTGAAAGAAGAAATTTCCTTGGTTCTCCACTTCCTCTTGCCCCTGAATTCTTCCGCAATATAAGACTACTAGGACGTCGCCCAACTCTTCAGCAGATCACAGAAAATCTTATCAAGAAATATGGGACACACTTCCTTCTGTCAGCTACCTTGGGAGGTATGATCAGTGATTTGCAATGTTAAGTAAACAACTCAGCTATAACTACACATGATGAGAGTGAGTATAAACACACTTTAAAAGAATTGAATGGTAATGACATTAGTAATATCAGTGGACTTTTTCTAGGCTGGAAGTGTAGATCCTGACTGACATGTGAAGATCTGAGGATCTCTCTGTTTTCATGGAATAGAAAGGCTCAGACACTGTCTCTCTAATATGGTTCTTTGCTCTACTAGATTTAGATGGGACATGTAATGTTAGAGGAATGTAGTTAAGCTGGTCATTTGAGGAATAGGTGGGAGGTTAGTGGGACTAGGTCAAAGTTTATCATTCTCTTGATGACCCCAAGAGGTTCAAAAACCATTCCTGAGATTCCCTAGCCCAACTATGTTTCCATGTCCCCTTTAAAAAGTATTAAGCAATGACCACTGGTGGTGGCTAGCTACAGAGATCTATTCTGTATTCCTCCATAACCTCCTTCTGAATCCCTTTGGACTGGTGGATGGGCAACAAGCCAATGTAAAGGCACCAGGCCTTTATGAAACCTTATTTCACTTGGAGTGGAGCATTATAATAGAATAATTAGGATGCTCTGCAAGGAAAGCTTCCTTAGCCTCTGCTTTAGATATTTATGTGGGAATCAAATGGACACATTAAGTGTGTCTATATTGTCTCCATGATAGAACTCCAGGACTTCTGTGAGTTACAAGCCTCATCCATCTGCTCCCACTGCATACAGTCCAAAAATGGTGATGAGGATGTTCAGTCCCTCAAGATCTTGACAGGAGGTAGAAGAGGGTTACTCCAGAATATCTTCACTGCTATATATTCAGGTTTGTAGGGTGCAGAGCAGGTAGTAAAACTTATTGTGGGGGGCAGTCTCAAAAGTAGTGTGGAGAAAGTGTAGATATACTCTTTTATGTTTACATGTGTGGTACCTTTGGAAGTGATGCTATCCCAGCACTGAGCTGCCCCTACCTTTGACCCACCTCACCTCCAGTTTCTCACTTGCCATGCCTTTGATCTTATTGTATTCATTGTTGAAGGAGGCAGTTTCCAGGGCTGGCAGTAACTTTGCTGGTTGTTTTGCCTGGGGACTGTATTCCCCTTTGAGTGCTTTGCCTTTAAGGCAGAGAAGGTTCTTTGTGTAAATCTGATATCTTTTATTAGACCAATTCAAATAGTTGGAAAAATTCTCCTTTGCAAACTTTTGGGTATAAATACCCATCATCAGGCTGAGGAAACATCCTTTAAGGGGCACTCCCGTAGGCTTCTGAGGACTTGTCGGAGCCTCAGCTGTCATAGCCATGCCCCCCTTTTTCTCTGGCCACACCTTTAGCCAATTTAAGACTTCAACTCCTGGGTATTGGCCCTGCTTTGGCAGCTGCCTCTCCTGACATCTCAATCTCAGTGCTACTCTCTAGCCTTTAGGTTATGGCTATCTCCTGACACAAGTAACATGGGAGTGCCACACAGGTATCCCCTGTTCATGGATGCCTCTGCTTCTAGCCACAATCTGGTCCTCCAGTATAAACAGAACAAAAGCACAAGCCAGCTGCTTCATAACACAAATAAGCTTCCTTCTTGGGGTAAAGATTTCCATAGGTCCTAACTACATAGTAGTCTCCTTCCCCAGCTCTCCTGGGTAGCTTGACTGCCTGTCTGTCTGTCTCTAGCAACCCCTCAGTCTCTGCTGCAGGCAGGGACTTCCCCCTGCACAGGCAGAGACTGGGCTTATATCTCCAAGCCCAGTCTCCTTCCACGTATGTGACTGGGTAATTTATACCCAGTGACCAGGGCAGCTAATTGCTCTATTAGACACCCAGCCTTATTAGTCCTGGGCCCAGTTCACCAGAGCTGTTACTCCTTACTTCCCTTCCTGGCCTCATTGGCCACATCCAGACAAGCACGGCCATGCAGTATGTAGCGCCACAGACATGTCAGCAGCACCACATATTCAGGTGTTCTCTATGCTTCACGGTAGCAGTGTGGGAATGGAGGTGGGGGGGAGGATGACCCTGGGGTCCATAAAAACCTGTGCAAACAAAAAGCAGGGCAACACGTGCTGCCCAAAACTGGAGCCTGGCCAGCTGGGTCCATGTTCTCTGGCTGCTGGCCAGGCTCTGAGAGGCAGGATCGCCACAGCTGCAACCCCAGGAGGCCCCCAGGATCCTAGGTAAGGCTGATGGGGCCAGCACAGTGCTGGCCTACCTACCCAGGTATCCTTCCCACCTCTGCACTAGTATTCCTATCCATGCAAGAAAGGAAGCAGCAGTCCAGAAGCTGCAGTTTTGCGTCTGGTGCAGTTTTTGCCAATGCATGAGCATAAGAATTCTCCTTCCTCCTCCTTATTCTCCTCCAGGGGTGTATGGGAGGATTCATGAGTAAAGCCCTTACATCACTGCCTCCTTGCACAGCATATTCATAGCCAGCAGTTTAGGTTGCTTTTCATTATGATATGTTTGTCTTTTCTTAGTCACTAGCAGCTACAATTTCCATAAGAAATAAGAACAATTGGAAATGTTATTTTTTGTGTTATCTCGTAGCAACACAAACAATTGTATAACTTCACTGAGTTCTCATTTTAGAATGCCCTTGAGGAGTATATTCTTATGTTTGTGAATAAAGACTTGGGAACATTTCACAGACAACCATGTGTAAAAGTTTCCTTTATGGTCAAAAAAGGATATTCATGCAAGCCAAATGGCCACAGAGGCACACAAATCTTACCACAAGGTCATTCATTTGCCAAGTTTTCCTTTATGCCCATGAATACAAATACTTAAAGCTTTGTTAAATGAAAGAAGGGGGCATATTTTACTTGATCTTTGCTAATCAGGCATCATATAAGCAATAAATATTTCAGAGGACATTTTGGCATCATTGCCGAAATAATTAATTGGATGGAGTGGGGGAGGGAATTATATTTACATATTAAAGGAGGATGGAAGTGCATGGTTTAGGATGTCCATACATCCTAACCCGCATGTGATAGGGCAAGGGAATGCATATAGGAATTTTATAACTATCTTGTAAATTATTAACACCCAGTATTTAGCTCAGATCCTCTGATTTTCAAATGTACTGAACATCTACTACTCCAAAGCAAATTAGTTTGTACTCCTGAGAGCTGCAAAATGAAACTATGGGTCTGATCCAAAATCTATTGAAGCCATTGAAAGCCTTCCATTGTCTTCATTTGGCTTTGGATAAAGCCCACAGTGAATGTTGTGCACTTCCTTTCTTCTTTGAAACTCTAGCATTAGTTCCTGTTTATACGCCCTCTCTTTAAGATAGTGAATACTTGAAACTCCTTTATGAGTGAAAGAGACAGGTGCTAGGTATTTCTTAGAGATCATGCCCCACCTGTTTCCTCTATGTTACTGAGGTTCTGGAAGATGTACCTACATTGAATAACCATTGCAAAATAATGTTGTGAGGTTTAATTATTTACATTTTCTGAACTTGAAACTCCCAAAGAAGGCATTATGATTCCCATACAACAAAGAACTCAGAGATTATGAACTATAACATTACATAACATGTTGTGAATAATTACCAGAAATTGCAAGGGTGAAATCCCAACCTCAGTTAAGTCCATGGGAATTTTATGAGTGACTTCAGTGGAGTTAGAATTTTACTCCTATTCTGACCTGGTCCTTAAATACTGTGCTTAAAAGTTCTAAGAAATGTTATTTTTCTATAAGGATTAAGGCCCTCTAATGCTAGACTCAGAATAATACTATCCATGCACATCTTCTACATGTAAAATTAATGAATGAATAAACTCTGGCATATATTGCATCAGAGTTTATTGTGCTCAGGTGCTGTATTTTCACATGTACCCAGGACCATAGCATGCTGAGCCAGGATGAAGCAGCCCCAGCTGGCAGGAGGCCCTGGAGATCAGTCTGCCAGCCCAGGGCTGCTCTAACCCAGCTCAAGGTGCTGCCGAGTGGATGACTGGGACACACGGATACTCCAGTATGGGGCTAGCCAGCAGGCAGCCTCACACTGAAGCACCCTCATGCCCCAGCCAGCCGTATCAGTTTCTACACATGTGTTGCTGTGCGCTTAAGAATACCACCACAGGACAGTACTTGTATTTACAAGTACTAACCCACAATGGAGTTAATTAGTTTCCTGTGGCCTAATAGGACGGCACATATAGGCACTGAGACTTTACTGCAGTGCTAATTAGGCAACTCTGCAGTAAATGTCTCATGTAGATGTGCCCTCCTTGTCCTGATGAATTCCCTTTTTGCTATATGGGAGGAGGGGGGAGATATAAACAATTAATGGAAATACTTAAAATGTTGTACCAAATGAACCATCATTAAAAGCTTCCTAGTGAAAATGTGTGCAATTTGTGCCTCGATTTCAATTAAATTATGATGTATTTGCTGCAGAAGTGCTATTTTGTTAAAATAATGATAGAAATTAATGTATTGTTATTTTAAATGGCTAAAGTAACAGGGACATTCAACCTGTTTCTGGAATGATCTTTTTTCCAAAAGAGAGTTACTAGGAGACATTTCAGTTGTTATGTTACCCAGATATCAGCCAAAAGAGAATAGTGTTTCTGTCATTTTCTTAATGTATGGTTAGAATTCAGTTATGAAATGTATTATAGAAAACCATTCCTCAGGTGAATAAGGGCTTTTGACAAGATTGTCCTGCAGGAAGGGTACTCAATCACTAAGATTATCTTTAATATAATCACCCGCCAAGGGATAAAACTGCTTCTCTAAAATGTCAGTTCATTTTGTGAAGTCTGGATAGGTAATCCTATGCACTAATTATCTTTTCTGAAGAATAATTGATACTGTCTCACAGCTAGGCCTCACCACTGGATTTGTCCAATCCATTCTGTAAACAGGTCCCTTCCAAATAGTAGGTCATATTAGTTTCCAAAGCAGGATTTAAGAATGAAGCTTCCGTGAATGTTTATGGGAGTCATGCAGCTAAACCTATCTGTAATTTTTTAGAAAATTTAG